GGGGATTTGGGCTCCGGTAACCTCACTCACTCAGTGAAAGGCAACGAAAGAATTGCTTAACACTGGTTATCTGTGAGGCCGTGGTATCACTCCGGTCGAGCCGCCCCTTCGTGCCGAAGCATGGCTCTCACACATTTATTCACGTTCGACATAATAACTAGTTTTCATTGTTAAAAATACTTATACTAATCGTTTTTGTCAGCACCATCATCGTCGGTTCCGATTAATACGATTCTTTGGTACCGGTTTGTTGTACAAAGTTTATTGGAATTGCATGTTTGTTGAAACCTTACAACTTCATACCATAGCCGATAAAAGATTTAACTTCATTCTATTCCTCTGATTATACCTATAGTCTCTCAACTCAACATTGGCATTGAAATGAGGCAGTATTAAGAGTAATACCAAAAGTCGCTAATTCTTGAAATATAGGAGTGCCTTGGCCCCTTGGGCATCTTTGATGGGCAATACCTCTAATATGTAGAAGTTCTTTAACACGTTTGACATTGGTAGACATCAACGGACCGAGTTTTATTGGTTTCAATGATATTAATCTTCATTTATCTTCTTCTACTCAACCGGAACGTTAAACATGGAGTCGGACCTGAATTATATCGCTAGTCTGCCGACCCAATATCGTCAACTTTGATTTTTTTCCTGTGCCTTCTGGGGACATCAAAAATATAATCCTGTCTGTCTGTTGTAACGCAATGGTTTGCAAGCCATAGGATAGTTACTGGATTACGTCCTCGAAATTATAGCCCACATTACTGACTTCTTTCTCGACTCCGAAACCTTTTCCTCTCTCTGGCACAAAGTTTACGTCAACCTTTTGCATAAAATTAATAACCCTTCTCTTCCTGAGTAGGTATTTCCTCCAATCCCCATCCTTCCTTTCCTATCAAACTTTCTTGAGGTTTTGCGTACACAAACAGTTCTTATCTCTCTCATCTTTCAACAGCATTTCCTAAGTCCTCTACAATCTTACTATTACTACTAAACCACCAAAAAAATCCACTAGCCACTAAAACCAAAATTTCGCTACTAAGAGGGGGGGTCAAAACCACCAGTTTTAGTAGAAAATCCACTAGGTTGGCAGCACTGCTGCGGTGGCGGCACGTCGACACTCTGGCACCGCAGCGCATTCCCGTCCCACCAAGTGAGTTCACGTTCGTAGTTATCTGCTTACCAAGAGAATTAGCAATATCTTATGGTCTCGACCAGCATTTGTCAGTGAAAGTGAGTCCATCAACTTGGAGAGGGGGTAAGAGTATATCTACACTTAGAGGGGAGTCAATTACCAAAAATTATATATGTATATATTATCAGTATTAGGTTTCGCAGAAACTCAGCAAAAGGATACCGTAACAAAAAACTGGATGGTTTTGGTTTGCTACATTCCATTTCATATGTTGAACGAGGGAAGGATTCGTAAAGTTAAGCCTCAGTGGTGACTATCTATCAAGGGGGTAGTCACTTATTAAAATCTGAGATAGCATTAGCAACGTATGCCCAGAAAGAGTGATTTTGAATTATTTGCATGCATTATCTGGTCTGATTGTAAACGTCCTTAACTCCTCTAATCCTGCCAACACCCAGTTTCATCTACATAAAACTTCGTGGAGAAAAAAGTTAAAGTAGTTAAAGCTATTTAGTTAGATAATGTATCAAGTCAAAGTTCAAATTTATGTAATCAGGCTTAGTTTATGTATAAGGCAATCTGGTAAACTGCATAAAAGTATTTGCCTTATACAACCAATACGATTTGTGACGAATGCACATATGTGATGAATTCATTTCCAAGGGTCTCATATCACATAACATAAAAAACACAAGATATTTTTTCATTTAGATAAATAAATATTAAATATTTAGATAAATGTATTTAAAACTACACATTTATAAATTAAATTTTTATTTTATGTTTTTAAATAGATATGTAATTCTTTTAGTGATATTTTTAGATATGGATACCGATAGGGACATTTGTTTTTTTTTCCATTTGTTACCCTTCACCTAACACCTAGAGATGGTATCCACAATATCTAGTGTTTATTATGACTATAATGTTATTCATGAGGTATCTGTTAAGTAGAACTACTTCTAACAATGATCTACGGCAAGTATGAAATGCTATGACTGAGATTATTTTGGGCGAAACATAAAGCGAATAAAGAAAATCTTCAATTCATTGTTTTAAATGTTTGCTTCATCATTTAGTCATCTCGGTGATGTAAAAAGTGGCAACCAGGAGAAGGATGTGATAAGTGTCTCGTGAAAGTCATTTTAAAAACGAAATTAGCTTAGTTGCAGATAAGTCTAAATTAGGGTTTGTAAATAGTAATACTTTTTGAGTATGATTAGAGTGTAATTTCATTTTACGATTAGATGCAACACTTAATGTAATACTTAAATGAAGCAGTTTTATTTAAAACAGTGGGTTTAATTGTATATTTGATTTTATGATAATGATTTAATATATTATATTACCTAAGTTTTTATAAATATGACTTTTTAAACATAGAGGGTATAGTAAAATACACTTGAATACATTTCAATTTAAGACTTAACCCAATTACCTCAGGCTTAAAGAATTCACAAACAATTGCCCACACTACTTCCTCTAATAAACTGTGTTTGTATTGTATCTAACTAAACTTCTGTGCTTGTAAATTAAAAAGTATTCTTAGTTTATAGATTAATAGATAGTTTTATTTCACCACACTTTGTTTATCAAACATTTATAGAAGATATATTTTATGTGATTAATGAACAGAAATATCTGTTTTAAAATTGCAAGCATTTAAATGCTACAAACACATGGTAATTCATGTCTCAATTAAATTGCAACAGGATTTTATTGGACTTAAATTTGTGATATTTTTTCATACTTTTGCAAACAGTTATTTATAAAAATGCAAAGTTGATAAATAATCAGCATGTTTTTACAATTAGTGTACTTCTAAACTATCTTTACAACTGTGAGAAGGCCAAGTTTTATGTCATTTGTCACACACTTAGTCACTTGTACTGGTCATTATTAGTGTAATGTAATCGCTCAGATAACGTTCTGCGATTACCATTGTCACATAATTTCGCCTCGAATATGCCTAAAACCTCAATGTGTATATGATACCTTAAATGAACTCACCTCTTCTAGTTATGATTATTTTACACGAGCATTCACACATATTACTGCATAAAAACAACCATAGAATGCACACTAAAACAATCACTATAACTTTTAAAATATTGGTCAACAACTTTTCAATGTACTGCGCGACACGGTTAACTATGTAATTTACACACAGTTTAAAAGTTCACAAAAGTTGAGAAATCATGCAAGTTGTTATAAAAATAACATTTAAACAATAAAAAGTAACTTTTATTTGATTATTATATCTACATCAGATTAAGGAAACGTAACATTAAGCGAAAAAAAATAAGTTAAACGGCACACGTAACTACACCATTCACGAGAATGACGCTGACAGCCTGACAGTAACCGTCTTCTTCACAACACAAAAACAATTTTTCACACAGTCTGAAGTAAGGCACAGACACGTTTTTATAAATCCAATCTGGCTAAGATAGTCTATGGAAAAAACTTACTAAGTATATTTTTTATAATTTCTCAGAAAAAAAAGTTTGATACTCACACACATTAAGGTTGAAATTTTAATACGCTCACTCAATTATTAAAAAATAAAAATGTAACAAAAAGATACATCAATATATTTAATTGTATGTTTTTATAATATTTAAATATTATGTGATAATATTTTATGTAAATGTTTGATCACAATATAATAATTAATGTATTTGAATATCATAAAATCAATATCCATAGCCTGAAAGTTTTAGTCGATAATTTCAAAGCATAGAAGAATTTTAAACAACCCTGCTTCTAACTTTCCAAGCCTGCAAGTACTCTGATCATAAATCTGTAAATAAATCCCATGATTGATTGCTTGGACAATCAGAATACAATAACAGGAAACAGTATTATATAACAATAACAGGCAAAAATTCAATTATTTTAGTTATCGTATCATGGTTTAATAATATTCTACAAAACGATGTCAGTTGTAAGGATGCTAGTTTGAAACTATTTAGAAAAAACAAGCCTCCATAGGCACTTGATACATCTAAACTGAACTACCAAACATTATTGTAGGAATATAGTTTTCAGAGAGATGTATGGTAATCTTCAATCAAATAACAAAACATTTTGATTTCATAGATTTATATTTTGTTCTAGTTGTACATTCACGCACTTACACACAATAAATGTCAATAAAAACAAGGTTTTCAGTCTGCCAAATACAGTGTCAATACAAAATGGCACTACTCATACCACTACATCAATGAATCAGTATTTAAAAAACAATACTAGATCTGTTTAAATAATTACTTTTTCATACAATTCTTAACACCTTGCACAATAGCTGCCAGTGTTTTTGAATACTTCAAAGATATAAATGAGGGTAAATAATATTATTTTGAAAAGTGAACATAATTTTATTATTATTATAAGATAATACTTGTCTTAGAAGTCAAAATAATCTACAAAATTGTATGAATTATAAATCAAGAGATTACAAAATACCTATTCGAATAAACTCTACAAAAAAAGGATCTTACAAATTAAATCTTAGTTGTACGTTTTCTAGGCAGAGCTAGTTCATCCCAAATTTATTCAAGTGAGATTTATATTGTACTAAATATATTTGAAGTAAATGCACAATAATCACACAGGACATCTTAAGCAGCTAATACATCTGAAATAATGTTTGAACATCTCACATGATTAAAATTTGGGTAGACAATCTCAGATGAGTTTTGTTGTCAAGATAACCTTATGTTAAAGTAGGTGAAGTATCTGGCATGATACAGTAGTGTAGATCTACAACAAAATTAATGAATTGAAGTAGCACATGGGTTATCGTGACAAACAAATTACACTAAAGGTGAGTGTTATATGTTTAAAACAACAGATTTTACTGTTCTTCAGATCCCTCATCTTCATCATCTTCATCCTGTTCTTCTTCAGTAGAGGCAGCATCTTTTTTAGGTGGTGCCGGGTCCTTGCGTGGTCGTCCACGTCCCCGCCCTTCGACTGGTGCGCTCTGAAACGGGCATAGTTTATATTAAAATAACTGATAAAGCTTAAATTTGCACATGTAAATAATAATTATTTTTAATAAAATACACACCTTTCCTCTTGCAGATGACTTTTTCTTGGACCCCTTAGGCCGTCCTCGTCCTCTTTTTGCTATTGGTGCCTGCTCATCATCAGATGATTTTGCAGATTCTTTAGTCCTGGTTGGTGCTGGCGGTCTGCCTCTTTTCTTGCTATCAACTTTGGCCTCCTGGTAAGACAATTTGAATATGATGAGTATAAAGAGCCACTATTAAAAGAGAAGTACATATTTTCTTAAGAAACAATTTGAATATCCTTACTGCTTGTGTTCCATTGGCTTTAGGTCTGCCGCGTCCCTTCTTCTCTACAACCGTTGAACCATCATCAGACATTTCTGGCAATTTTAATAGCTGCTAACGAGATAAAGTCTGAAACAAATATATTTCTTTAGATTTTTTTAAAAATGCTATAGGCATTCAAATTCCTTGTTACGCTAAGGTAAATAGAAATTTATTAACTGAAAGAAACTAGTAAGGACATGAATTAAAATGTAATTGGTGTAGAGTTACTTGCACATTGAAACAAAATAACAATTTCCAGACAATAATTAGAATACCCGCTCCTAATTACAAGAGCTTTATTGCGGGCTATTTACCATATCCGATGTAAAGAATTGAGTATTTTAATTAAACATGAAGACTTAAAATACCAAAGAGAAAATTTAATATGCCACAGAACTTAAAACATTTCTTTAAAGTTTAAGTAGTAAGCCGATATTCATTTACGAATACCAAGCCTCTACAATGGAGTCTGCTTACATTTTCGAAAGAGGATTTCATGTAAATTCACAAATAAAATAGTATTTATCAGGGATACTGTCAGCAAAATAAAACAATAAGTTTAGATCACAAAATATTCCTATAAGGATAAATAATTTTTTCATAATTAGAATAAAAATACTCACAGACTTGTTTACAGCAAACCTTAACGTAAAGCCAAAGAGAATTTATGGCGGGCAGCGAACTGAGAACCGGTGTTTGTTTGGCGTCTGTGTAGAGGGCGCTGATGTCTATGTTAGGAAAAAAATAAAAAACAAGATAAGAGCACTATTGTTGCACAAAAATATTATAATAATAGTGGGAAATTTGAAACAAGGAATATCATTTATTATGTACTGTTATTTCATTATAGACTAGTTAGAACATAATCTATAAATTATTCTTGTAAGAAATTAAACTTGCCGCCAGCAAAGGAATCCATCAACAATAGAAAATAACATATTTAAAAATTTTCAATTTCAAATCAAATTCATATATTAATTAGTCGATTGTGTGGTATTAGAAGTTAAGTAATAAACAAAGAACTACCAAAAATTTTAAAATCAGTATCTGTAAAAAAAACTGAATGAGGAATGAGTATCACCTCATAATTGGCATGTTGGACTTTGTATACCTTTTTTTTTCTTTTTACTTTATTGCGAACACAAGATTCATAAGGGTACATACAAAATGGCAACAACAAAAAAAGAAAATCCACAAACAAAAAAAAATACTAGGATACAAAAAAAAAAGAAGTTGAAAATATTATCCTGCCGTTTTGATCCAGTGCTTGTATATGTGTTGTATATATATGACGTACTTATTCTATCTGACAGACTTCTCATAAAAGTATTATTACACCGGTCAACTATGGACAAGAATTTTGCTATACGGTTTCTCTGGATGGCCTAAAAGGAGTTTACTCGCGCCTCGAAGAACATTCCGGAAGCGCTACAGTAGCGTGGTAGTCCCATAAGTTGCCTAAAGATGTTGTTGTAGGCAACCCGTATACTATTTATCGATTTCATCGTATAATTGGTCCAAAGTTGACAAGTGTAGAATGTCTGACAAAAGGAGATAACAATGTTACTTTAACATCTGGGGAAGACTTACAGTATTTCCTACAGATCATATTGCCCACAACACATAAGGCTCTCTGTGCGCGTTCAACATCACTGTCATCCCTCAGTTTTGCGGTTACAATATGGCCAAGGTACCTAAACTTTTCCACTACTTCGACAGGCTGTCCGTCAAGAAACAAGCTGGAAACGCTATCAGGCCCCTTACCGAACCTAAATATTACCATCTTTGTCTTTTTAACCTTGTATGTTAAGCTATGGTCTATTGCAAACTTTTCACAAATTGAAATTAGCTGTCTCAATCCTCTTATCGTGGGGCTGAGAAGCACCATATCATCAGCATAACTGAGATTGTTGACATATCTCCCCAGGTAGGTAAGCCCTCCCTGTCTCACTCCGCACGTCAGTCTGTAGCTGTCTGACAGCTCCTGACCCCACCTGACGCTATTGGACTGATTACGATACCAAAACGTAAGCAGACCAACGACCTCATGCGGAGCAGATGTACATTGTAGCTTTTGACACAGCAAGTTATGATTCATAGTGTCAAAAGCACGATTCAGGTCTAAAAAACAATCGTATACACTCGTCTGACCACACTTGTAATAGTTAACAACTTGTTTCAAGCCAAAAAACAGCCATATCTGTTGAGACTTGTGATCTAAAACCGAATTGACCATCGTCTGGGTGTAAAAAAGGTGTTAAGTTTTATGAATGAATCTCTCTAGTACCCTGGCCAATATTGTTGCAAGTGAGATTGGTCGGTAGTTGTCCATGCTCGATAGTTCGATACATCACCCGTTCTATTTTTAGGGATAGGCATAACAAGCGTTTTAATAATTTCCTGAGGAAGGTAGCAATGTCTCAAACAACCATTATACAATTTCGCTAAGACTTCACATATATGTTGACCCGCATTCAGCAAATTTTGCCCATACTATTTATCTACAAAAAAACTATCTCTACCGACAAAGCAATCTAAAATAATATTACTGTAGTACTGTACTAGTGGTGTAAACGACTCTACTTTTCAAACCGGTTTGAACATGAACGGAGTTAAATCGGTTTGGCCGTAGTTTAAACCTCTTGATCAGTGTCATAAGATCGCGCTGCACTTCGCGTCGTACCATCGGACTCGCAGCTCCTCCTTTACCGACCGAACAAAACTAATTTCTCTACCAACTGATTCTGAACCAAGAAACGACACTAAATCTTTATTAATTTACCTACAAGCACAAACTATATTATTATGTTCCTACAAAATTGGATAAGGTTAGCGCGCGTCGTTTAATAATAATTTAAAACATAAATCGATTTTTTCCCGTTCGGTTCTAACGAAATATTTTTCTTAATTTTAATATCCACCAAATGAGAAAAACAGAGGGCATGGTAATCGTCTTACTTGACTGGGTAGTTTATTGTATATTTATTGTTACTGAAGTACACACGAAAGTAAACTCGGTTGCAAACTTGTGATACGATGTCTTGCTTGATACGATGTCCATGCTCCTGTTAAAAAAATTAAATTATAGAGGCAACCTGCAGCCTGGATGACAAAGGAAGTGCTTATGGCTATATGGCGCAGAGATAGGGCCTACTGTAGATTTAAAAGGAATCACACAGAGGAAAAGCAGGCTTTGTACAAGACGCCAAGAAATAGATGCAATCAGATGATACGTAACGCTTAACGCCGATACATTCTTGACAACATTACCCGTTCTTCCCCCGCCAATATTTGGAAGTTTCTTAGAACTCTGGGTATCCGTACGCAGCCATCGGGTGGTCTGCAGGGGATGGTTGGTTTGGATGATATAAATGGCCATTTCTCCTCCTCTCTTCATTTGGATCACCAAACCAGGCATCGTACTGTTGACTACTTGGCAAGTCTAGTGAAACCTGAAATAAACTCTTTCTAATTTTCTCCGCTTGCGTCGGGTGAGATCAAAAAGATAATACTTTCCATTAGATCTAACGCTGTTCTCTGTGATTAAATCAGCCGACACATGATTATAACAATCCTGGACCAAATCTTAACTGCGATCACCAACATTATTAACTACTCATTTGATTCTGGAATTTTTCCATGACTTTGGCGCGAAGCTTATGTTATCCCCTTGCCTAAAATTGCAATTCGTACATTCCCCAAACCACTTTAGACCAATATCGATTCTTTCGTTCCTCTCTAAGGTTCTAGAATCCTGTGTCCTCAAGCAGTTTTCAGAATTTATCAACAAAAACAAATTGTTAAGTCCGTTGCAGTCTGATTTCAGACCTGGTCATAGTACCATCTCCGCTCTTTTTAAAGTGACTGGCGATATTCGGTCGGGCATGGAGGACACCAAGGTAACTGTATTAGTTCTGGTCGATTTCTCAAACGCTTTCAATACCGTCAATCACGATATCCTCTTGTCTATCCTTTCCTATCTCATGGTCTCACCCGAAGCAATGGAATGGTTCTCATCTTATCTTCAGGGACGCCAGCAGTCTGTCGCATAGATGAATCTTCTTCTAGCTGGTGTGACCTTGATTTTGGTGTCCCTCGAGGCGGTATTCTTTCTCCTTTGCTATTTTCTGTGTATATTAATCTCCTAACCCTGAGACTTCATTGTACTTATCATTATTATGCCGATGACCTGCATATCTATTCACAAAGTAAGGTTGAAGATATCTCAATAGCAAAATATATGATAGATATATTGGAAAAGACAGGTTATTTAGAATGGTAAATAGGACAGTGAGAAAGAGTAATTTACGACGTAGACGAATGGGTATCAACTATCATCTCTTATTACCTAGAAGCAATTAAAGCATGGTCCGACAAGTTTGGCCTATCAGTAAACCCCACAAATGCCAAGCTGTTTTGATTGGAAGTCTCCGATTAATGAGCAGAATAGACATTAAGACACTTCCAGCTGTTTTTTAACGGTTCTATTATACCTGTTTGTGAATCTCTTAAAGTTCTTGGCTTACACCTCGACTGCACACTGAATTGGCGTGATCAAGTTGTACATTAGTGTCAGAGGGCTGCCGGAACTCTTGAAGCATTAAAAAATTTCTGCCCGCTAAAACCAAAACCATGGTTGTGAAAACTCTTATTTTCTCTATAATCGACTATGGTGACGTGTGCTGTTCTGACTGAATGCAGATTTTCTCGATAAGTTGGAGTGAGAGAGTTAAGTTCTTAATAACTGCATTCGATACATCTTTAGCCTCCGTAAATATGATTATGTGTCCTCTTTCCGTTCGCAGCTTAACTGGTTACCCATTCGTCTACGTCGTAAATTACTCTTTCTCACTGTCCTATTTACCATTCTAAATAACCTGTCTTCTCTAATATATCTATCAGCGTACGTATATATCAGCTTCCTACTATCAACTCTTATTCACCAATCATGATAGAAATCTTCGGTCCTCCAATAACCTTCTTCTTCTTTGTCCCTCCCATACATCTGAGTTCGTTGACTCATCCTTTCTCGTTCAGTCCGTTCTTCTTTGAAATGCGCTTCCGCTCGAAATCAGGATGGCCACCAACACTTTTTCTTTTAAAGAAAAAGTAAAATAGTATCTGGTGAAACAACTTGCAGAATCAAATTGCTCGTGATTGTTTTTAGGTATATCAAATTGTCAATACTTTAATGTGTATGTATTTATATACTTTTGTACTTTATTTGTGTATTGTATTGTAATGTGTGTATCTATGTATAATATGTATTGGTGTAGTATATGATAGGTTTATATATGTATAAATATTTGGTTTTGTATTCAGCTCAAATTGCTTTTAGTATGAAATTAACTGTAACCAAAATGCACCTACTTCCTGTTTTCTCTACATCACCCAATGGTTGACTGGTAGAGAATGCCTTTAGCATTAGAGTTGCATTGGCGGACTGCATGCACATTAGTGCATGACATGTCAAATAACTAAATAATAGTAGAATTGTAGAGGACTTAGGAAATACTGTTGAAAGATGAACTGTGAGAACTGTTTTTGTACGCAAACCTCAATAAAATTTAATAGGAAAAGAAGATGAGGATTGGATAGACGTGTTCAGGAAGAGAAGGATTATTAATTTTAGGCAATGGGATGTAGGTTTTGTTAGGAGGGAAGGAAAGGTTTATACAAACATTTGATCCGACCCTGGTATCGAACCCGAGACCTCAGCTCAGCAGTCACATACGCTACCACTGCACCACCGAGGCAGTCAATAGAGTAGAATGAAGTTAAATCTTTTTCAAAGAAAGCTCGCGGCAAGCGATGTATTTACAAGTTGACGAGTGCTTGTTCCCTACTTCTCAATTTGATATTACAAGTATTGTAGTTGAGTAGTGGGGAATCAACATTAAGTCTACTGATCGAGCAGTTCAGTTTTTTTTTTTTTTTTGTGCCCTCGTTTGCCTGTCCGGAACACAATAACACAATCGCAAGCGTGTAAATGGCATCCAGGCGTTTGTTCGTTAGACTTGGAGCTAGTGGACGTATGCCAAGCTTCGGCACGCATGTAAACTGGACATTAAATGTCGAATCTGGTGGAGAGTTTATTTAACTGTTGGCAGCACTGTCTAGTCCTCTAGTGTCTGATATTGGCTTAAAGGTCTTGTTACCAAGCCATAAAAATCCAAAAAAAAAAAAAAAAGTGTCTGATTGTGACAGTTCTTCAATGCAATAATTTGTGTTGGTGACGTCCGTTAACGTGAAAATGATAGAATTATACTTAGTTGAGAAAAGCAAAAGTTTATCTAGTTCTTAAAAATATAAGCATTTTTTTCAGAATGAAAATTTTAATTTAATTTTCATAAACATGTCTTCGTAAAATTAACAGAGTACAAATTCCCACTTGTGTGTGTTTTTACAGCAGCGTTCCAAATAAATTATCGTGCAGTAAGACAATGGAAAAACCTGTAGAACCAAATAAAGAAGACTGTTGCAACAGCGGTTGCAATCCTTGTATATTTGATATTTATGAGAAACAATTAAAGATATATGAACAATATTTACAAAATGGAAAGTACAATCCTGCCAAAGACAATGGTATATCAGAACTTGAATATACGAAATTCATTGTTATTGTGAATTTGAGTATATGCAATTTTCATAATCTTATTATTTTTAGAAGAAAGGTACAAGATAGTAAAAGAGTTTGGTGGAACCCTGGTGATCATTTGCTTTATAAATATATTTCAAGTAATAAATCATGTACACGAGCATACACACCAATAACGGTAACTGATAGTAATGTAACAGAATACAATGGTGAATTCTCCATAATTGTAAAAAAATATGATAAGGGTGTAGTATCTTCTCATTTATGTAACTTGGATACAGGAAGTGTCACTTTGTGGAGAGGCCCTTATGGACATTATGAAATTACGCCTAATAAATTCAGCAGAGTGATAATGATCGCTCAAGGAACTGGAATTGCACCATTAATTACAATCATAAATAACATTTTAAATAATGAAGATGATATGACTAAAATCATACTACTATATTGTTGTAAATCTTTAGACACTGTATTATTCAGAGATGAGCTTTATGCTAATCAGTCATATTGGAATTTTGAATATAAAATATATTTGGGCCAGCCAATTAGTACTGGTTTAAAATATCAAGAACCAATAAAAAGCAGTAAATTCGAGTCTGATGAATTATTAAATTTGAAACCAATTTCTAGTAGTGATCAATTTTTGATATGTGGGTCTCAAAGGTTTAATAAGGATTATGAAAATCATATTAGGAAAGAGTTCCCATTATTAGAACATATAGTATTGTTTTAACAAATTTGACCTGTGTATTAATTGATAGTCCTGTCTGTGTGGCTGCGTGACGGATGAAAAATACAGTGTCACCACCCCTATTCAACCCAAAGTCTAACCCAGTAGTTTTCACTGGCTTGACGTTTGGAATAGTGAAATGTATACACTCAAATTTTTGTTAATTTAAAAGCAAATTGTTGACGTCAAACCAATGATTCACTTTCAAAATGGTGCTGTTTACATTTGTGAAATTAGTTAGTGTCCATTTTAGTCTAAATAATAGTTATGTATCATCTGCAAACAACACAATCTCGACATTGTCATTGACAAGGTGAGGTAAATTGTTAATATATACTAAAAACAAAAAAGGCTGAGAATAGAACCTTGTGGAACGCCTGTTTCTACTATAGAGCCTGGAGCACTCTCACCATTAATATCAACTTTCTGAATCCTATTATAAACATATGCTGCAGCAAGAATTTCTAGTGCTTTGATTTTTGATATGATAGTGCTGTAATTTCCTGATCACATGATGTTTCATGAACAACACAATCAAAAGCTTTAGATAAATCGCATAAGATACCTAGAGAATCGTGGGCATCCTTCCAGGCATCAAATATATGTTTTACTAGCTCAACACTGGCATCAGTTGTGGAGTGACCTCTAGTAATACCAAATTTGATATTGTGTAATAAATTATTATTATTAAAAAACTTTGCAATTGATCTTACAATTTTTTTTTAAAAATCTTGCTAAGTACTGTAAGTGTGTGTAAGTACTAAAGTTAGTTGGGTCAGATGTACTACCCGATAAGGGAATAATTTTACTAGACTTCAAAAGATCAGGAAATATACCACTATCAACACATTGATTAAATGTAAATGATAATTGATTAGACACAAGAGATGGAATTGTCTTAGTAATTAATACAGAATTTCCCCATAGGTTGGTTGTTTTTTCTTTCAAATGCAGCAGCAACCTAGGCATTTGATGTGATTTCATTGTTTATATTTAAATTAAATTCATTACCATGGTATTGATTTTTGCCAGTTTCACTGTTAAAATTTTCCAAGTGGTTTAAATCTTATCATTGCTACTTTTTGTCTTTGAACTCTAAAAACGAGACTTAGCCAATTTACAAAGTTTCCTAAACAGCTTCGAATATTCTTTAACATCATTTTGAAACTGTTTACTTTTATTATAATTCCTCTCATCATATAGCTCGTTGCCTACTTTTGAGTAAGCATGGGGTAGCCCATTTACTAAATGTGGCATTTTCCTTTCCTTTAAATAGGTACTAGCGTTTTTGGAGTAAAAATGTTGTTAAATGTTGAAGAAAAAGTTCAAAAAAAGCAATTACGATAAGTATTAGGGTTATTCGATACGCAGAGTACTGAACTATTAAAAGCATCTTTAAGTTTATCCTTAAAGTTTTCACAACACTGCTGTTTTAACTTTTTTTCTTTTTTCTTTAAAAGATAACTCCCGCACTAGGAATAAATCCTGTGTCGCGGAGGACTTTACAAACATACATGAAACGGACACAAATAACACCCAGACTCAGAACAACAATTTGTGAATCACACAAAGTGTCGTACCATGTGGGGATCGGACCCACAACACTCAGCGTAGTAGTGAGCGGCGTGGCGACCGCTTAAACCACTACGCCATCCGTGCAGTCTTTTCTAATCACAATTCATTTTTTCTGCCACAGAAAGACACTAATTGACCACAGTGGTCAGTGTAATTGATTATTTTCTTGTCCTTAATTACAATGTCTGTAAATATATGTATGTGTGTGGTACAATATTGTATTATATTGTTCAAATATGTGGGAGTGGTTGCAGTGATTCGTGTAGGCTCCAAGAACAAATTCTTCAGATTGCATGTTTGAAGAGTGCCTTGAACTTGGTTACTATACTTGAATTTGCCAATAGGTTAATATTTAAGTCACCACAGATAATAACCTTCTTTTCTGATCTTGTTACTTTAACTCATACTTCATCCATAAAACGTTCAATACATAGCTGTATACAACTACGTAGCATAGCGTAATACCGTTACAGGAATTCGATCCGTAGCGTAATACCCATGCCATGGGAGAGTATGTCGGCCGACTCAGCCGATCAGCTTTTGTACCGTCGTAATACCACGGGAAGAGTAATGAAACACATCGGTTGCTTCCATCCGGAAGAAGGTGTTTATTAAAAATTTCACCTTCTATTTATACTAAAATTCATACGTAAAAAATGGGTTCAATGGGATTAGCGTCATAAATTGTTTCTTAACAGAAAGTCTTATTCAACAGTCTTTGTCAGCGCTTTACTGTTTCTTTTCAAACAATAAGTTGCGGTATACGCACCTTCGTACAGTAGTAGTTGTTCCCGTGTTTATGTTTCATAGTGGCGCGGACGCCACAAAACAATTGAAAGTCGAACATCGAATGTTGCACATTTTTAAAAAGAAGATTCTCATCTTTATCATGTGAAAAAAGTTAGACGAAAATCTGCCCCAAGAACCCCTATTATTAATCATTGAATCAAACGTCACTGTTTCAAACTTTGAGGTGTTGAATCATGCGAAAAATTAAACATTTTTCGCATGATTCAACACCTCAATCCAATTAAATACTTATAATGGAAAAGACAAAGGTAAGAATTGATCTTTTTTTCAAATTTTCGTAATAATATACTATTGATATGAAGATATCTTACTTATACATTTATCTTCTTTAACAAGTTAAAGTTATTGTTAGTTAGTGTTTTACTAGCAAAAACCAATTTAAAACTAAACCTAAAGATTATTCCAACAAAAAGATTTTTGAGATATTTGCAGTATAAGTGTAAATACTTATAATGGAAAAGACAAAGGTAAGAATTGATCTTTTTTTCAAATTTTCGTAATAATATATTATTGATATGAAGATATCTTACTACGACTGGATGGCGTAGTGGTTTGTGTAACGGACTGCTATTCCAAAGGTCGCGGGTTCGATTCCCGCTCAAGTCAAACATTTGTGTGCATGAACATTTGATGTTTGATTTGGTCTGGGTGTTTCTATGTATAATATGTATGTATTTACAAAAAAAAAAAGTATATATGTATTTATATCAGTTATCTAGTACCCTTAGTACAAGCTCTGCTTAGTTTGGGACTAGTTGGCGTTGTGTGTATGTGGTAGAATATATTATATTATATTATTATTATATTATATTAAGTGTATTGATCACGGATATGTAACAAGATGTAAGAGATATCATTTTCTGCCTTTAACAAATAGACGTACTGTCTCGATATTGTTACATTATTAAAAATCATTAACGGAGATTTAGTTGATTCTTCTCGAGAAAATTAAAATCATAGTCCGGGAGGTACCGTTGCATTTTAGGTGTGCGTTACCCCAGCAAAATAATGTCGAAAATGGTCATTTAAACTTTATAGATAATTAGTTGCTCCCCTTCTGTAATTGTTAGGCACATTTTTAAATTTGTTTCACTTAAACTTTTTTAGTTATTTCAAAAAAACATTTCCTGCTGGGGTAACGTTTGAAACGTTACCGCAGCCAGACATTTTCTTTTTTAATTGTAATATTGAAATAAATTTTAGCTAGATAATTAGTTATCTGGACTAGGTAAATGTTACAACTTATTTGGTATTTGTATTTTCTTCGGCTGCGAAGTTATTCGAAATCCTGCTGGAGTAACGTTTGTGGGTTTGCTGGATCTCTGAAACGGGTAAGCGGATTGTAACCATCTTTTGTACATAACTTCTTAAGGATTAGATTTAATTTGTTCGACAATAAAATAACAAAAATAATGGACCGTTTAAAAATTATTTAGGTAAGTATGAAAACACTTCAATACGTCCTAACACTTTAAATAAGACCTCTAAAGACTTACTTGAAACGTTATTCTATTGCTTGTAACTACCTTCAAATGTATACGAATTTTCGTAAGAATACTGTAAGTGACTAAAAAGTTATGATGAAATGTAGCTCTCCACGTTCACGATCACGATGTGTGCGGCCTTTTTTGGCCACCGATAAACCTGTGTGTGGATATATAAACTGAATGTTATGCCAATAATTAGTTGTTTAGTTCAGTTGTCTACCTGTAGAATTTCAGCGTCGTACATATAATAATTTACGAGATAATTAAATAAAAGTCATTAGAAGGTGCAAGTCCGTGGTAATCCGACCATGTTTAGGTGGTTACAAAAAAGCGATCACCCAGTACATTGCGCTGTCTTTTGAAATGTTTAGTGTAATACACCTTACGATTTCGGTACAGTTGCGTACAGTGTTAAATACATTCAATATTTATTCATTATTATTACCTATTATTTATTTTGTTTTTTTTCCCTAATTGATCTTAAGCACTTGTTTCTTTACTTAAAATTTATTTAGTCTTTTTTACTACCGGAGCTACAATCAACAGAAAATCTGCACTGGTCCGCTAAAATTATAAATATGTAGATACATGTATGAACGATTCACCTGACTGCAATAAAACGAAAATTTAAACCAATAAGAAATCGTTTCATTTCTTTGATTTTTTTTTGTAAAGAAATAACACTAAAGTAATTGTATTTTATTTTGGGGTGTATAGAGCTTAGACTTGAATGCATCAAAATATTTAAAGCAACAAGTCATCTACAATAAGTTAAAATAGACCGAATAGTAGAAGAATACAGTTGTAAATTAGAATGCATCAACATTGCATCGCCCAACAGTCGTATACCTCGTAAGAGTAGGTAATATTGTTCTGTGGTCTATACCTAGAACCGAGAATTATCTATACCTATGTACCTACCGTTAAGCGTTGAGCCCGTGACTGTTGATTTCTGTTAAAAACGAACAGTTGTTGAATGATATTTTGATATAATAACGGTAATTTAATTTATCGAGTGAAAGTGATACATTTTTATAGATAAAATTATTGGTCAGATAATATTTGTCAATCAAGAATCGCTGATAATACATCCTTCGCTAGAACGCGGGAGGGGAGGGGCGAAGGGATACTTCATTGTTTGCCTTTTGCATCTAGTGCACTAAACTTGACCCTTAGGCAGATAATATACGTGTGCGCTTCCGCTTTCTATTTTTGCAAATATTTATCGTATTCTTGAGAGTTCTTCAATATGTGTACCTAATTACTAATAATGGGCATTAATGCTACTTCGATTCAATTTAAGTAATTGTCAATTCTTGTCTTAGGATATTAATTACTAATGCTAATATTGAAATTTCGTTCAGGGTGAACAAATTAAAAACGATCATAACTTTTAGGTAGGTATATCACTTATTACTAATTTTACATAAATAATTTATTTTATTATAATTTAACTCACCGCGATTATGTGATCAAATATTTTATTTTCTCCAACATTATTACAGAAATAATGCAATACAGAGTTTGTTCGCGATATGCTAGCCTAAGTCGATTCATCACTTAAAAAAATCCCCATCTATTCACAAAATACCTATTTACAACGCATACGTTACACTCTTCAAAACTTATCATTTCATTTCATATTTCTTAAATTACCTATACCTACCCTAAAATTAAACTTCAATTAACAAATACTACGCAGGTACCAATTCTATGAACAACTATAAACAATTCACCTAAACATTACGAGAAAACAAAAGCATTCAAAACAATACCTAATCTCCCGGCTGATTACTAATTATGCAATAAACAATCCTAAATAAAAAATATTTAAAAAACATGTAGTTTTTTGTAACACTTATGTACATATCCGTAGTAAACTTCCAAATAATATCCTACATATTTTAAAAGCCAGCACAATGTACTGGGTGATCGCTTTTTTGTAACCACCTAAACATGGTCGGGTTACCACGGTATTGCACCTTCTAATGACTTTTATTTAATTATCTCGTAAATTATTATATGTACTACGCTGAAATTTTACAGGTAGACAACTGAACTAAACAACTAATTATTGGCATAACATTCAGTTTATATGTCCACACACAGGTTTATCGGTGGCCAAAAAAGGCCGCACACATTGTGATCGTGAACGTGGAGAGCTACATTTCATCATAACTTTTTAGTCACTTACAGTATTCTTACGAAAATTCGTATACATTTGAAGGTAGTTACAAGCAATAGAATAACGTTTCAAGTAAGTCTTTAGAGGTCTTATTTAAAGTGTTAGGACGTATTGAAGTGTTTTCATACTTACCTAAATAATTTTTAAACGGTCCATTATTTTTGTTATTTTATTGTCGAACAAATAAAAACTAATCCTTAAGAAGTTATGTACAAAAGATGGTTACAATCCGCTTACCCGTTTCAGAGATCCAGCAAACCCACAAACGTTACTCCAGCAGGATTTCGAATAACTTCGCAACCGAAGAAAATACAAATACCAAATAAGTTGTAACATTTACCTAGTCCAGATAACTAATTATCTAGCTAAAATTTATTTCAATATTACAATTAAAAAAGAAAATGTCTGGCTGCGGTAACGTTTCAAACGTTACTCCAGCAGGAAATGTTTTTTTGAAATAACTAAAAAAGTTTAAGTGAAACAAATTTAAAAATGTGCTTAACAATTACAGAAGGGGAGCAACTAATTATCTATAAAGTTTAAATGACCATTTTCGACATTATTTTGCTGGGGTAACGCACACGCATTTTAGGTAGTGTTTTTACGCCGGTCGGTTGCCATCTTGTTCAATAAATGTCAAATGACTGATAAGTGAACCGAGCGTCAGCTGACGCACCCGCGGTGGGTGTAGGATTGAAAGGTTCCGGAAGTGGTGAAAAAAAAATAAAAAATTAAGTCATAGTACGCCGGCTGAAATTCATTTCATAAATATTTTACATCATACAGAGCTAAAAAAAAATCGTCAGCTGCATGGTGGAGGGGGGATTATGCGTCAGCCGCTCGCTTGAACTTGTAAAAAAACACGTAAAATAAAGTTATAGTACGCCGGATGTAATTTAACTAAGTGATTGTTTAAATTATCAAAAGTACGAAAACAACAATCAGCTGCGTGGGTAGCGGTGGAAAGACCGTCAGCTGACGCAGTAAAAGTTAAAAATATTGGAGCATTGCTACTACGCTGTCTTTTTTAAACACATATTTCGACATAGATTTTGTCTCACTCCTCGATATTTAAGGTTGGTAGAACTGTCAAGTGTCACTTGCAATTGACACGACTTCACACCAGTCACTTCTCGCAAATTTCTCACTTCACAGTAATTAATCGCGTGTGACTCCGATTTTCCTGCACTTTCCACAACTTGATCTTTGTTGATAGTAGCAGAGTAGTGTTATTAGCACGGGTTTAAGTACAGTTTCGAGATATTTTTGTCGAGACTGATACGTCTAAGCAACAGACGTATCAGTCTATTTCGTGGCAAAAAAAAAGAAATTTTAATATCTTTTTCTGACAAAACCATAAAAGTAGTTGTTACAGCCCCGGTTGTTTGCAAGATGTCAATGTAGTGCGTGACTTCATTATACTGTTATTACACAGAATGTGTATATGTGTTGCTTTAATTGTTATGTGTGGGTTACGTAGTGACAGCCGATTGTTTTTGCATGAGAGTCTGAGGATGTTTGCGTGACGAAGATTGCCCCCCGCTAAAAATTACAGACTATTTTATAGCGCGAAGAGACGTTGTGGCTACCCTCCGGTCCCCCGGTAGCCCGTGTTGCTCTATGGTTAAAAATACTGGATATGATAGCAGATATAAGTTTAGATTTTGTATACGGGTAACACTGGCGAGAGTTCGATTTTTTCGCGCCGGCGCGAAACGTGTTTGCTTCCAACACACGCTTGAATTTTTTCACGTTTCATTAAATTATTAGATAGATACACGACACAGATTTATATTTCATTGTGTTAATAAGGTTCATGTGTTAATAAGGTTCATTAGTTAACATAGGGAAAAATTATGTTGTGTTCCTAAGTGGAAAAACAAAAATAACATTTATTTTGAGAATGTTCATGGTATAAATTGCATAGGTACTATATTGCAGTTCATTAAAAAAAAATGGGTTCTATAGTGTTGAAAAGTTTATCCATCCTCTTAGGAGTGTTTTTTATTTTCGTTGGGATTACCAAGCTAACCCCATTTATTTCCAAGGAACTGCACAAAGATTTGGTAAGCACTTTTTATTTATCTATTACCGAACAGAAGTAGCGAAAGGTCGCCAGTTGCATTTAGATTTTTGTGGCACTGCGATGTGGCTCGCTATTTTTGTATTTGGCCTGCCGCCTAATACCACCTCCGAGCCGTCTTATTACGACAGCGTGACTCAATCTTGAATGCCCCCTTCCAGACTCAGACTTAATTTTAAATTACGTTATATAGGTACGTTTACAATATTAAGTACCTATATTGTATTGTTAACGTTAATGTGATTAAGGTTAGAAAATAAGGTACCTATATCGTAATGTTATGTTTATTTAAAGGGTTATCAATATGGAAATATAAGTAAGAGTTTACAATAAGTATCGTATTTTTAAATATAATTGTTTCAAGCGCCTCTTGCAGGAAAATTTGAATAAGATTTTTTTTTTTTAAACTCATGAATGCCATTGAATATATAATATCGTCGGAATAGATGTGACACCTCGCAAATACATTTGTTGTAAAATTAGATTTTTGTGAAAAATGTTTAGTATTAAAAATGAAAATCTATTTATTGTTTTTAGTTAAAAATCAGTAAGAATATAAACGATGTGTTTGTCTCTTCTAAAAGTTTATCAGTTTGCACAACTAGACTGACGATTACAGCTGTAATGATTTGTCATAAACTGTAAATTACTACATTCAGTAGGTAAATAAAGATGTCTGTAGTGCTTATTTCCACATTTCTACTTAGATGCCTAAACATATTTTAGTGTTAGACATTTTAAAAAGTTCATAAAACGTAACAACTCACGCGGGTTAGCTGTTATTGAAGTCTATGTATCATTTTGTATTAATTTTTCGTTGGATGACATTTATGATAATGGACCTCTTCTTTTTATCAACGAATAATCCCCTAGACGGTCCCAGTACAAATCTTTGATAGGCAATTCTTTTTTATCAAGCTATTAGTTTCTGACAATATAGCGTGTGTTTTAGGGTTTTGTGAGATAACGTTCATTAACATACGTTCACATAATCATTACATTATGAATTATTGATAAATTAGTCACGTTCACTTCGACACTTGTATACGAAAAAGATAGAACCTAAGTCCTTTTCATACAGTAGGTATGGGCAATTTACTTCACAACAACCATTGATATTAACTGCCTTCATGTATTGGGGTTTTTTAAAAGCGTTGCATCAATTAGTCTGTCATATTTAACGAAACTTAAACATTATTTTTAGTTTCATTAAATATGGTGTACTTCGAAGGTACGCTATCTTAATTATATATATATATGTATATGCATCTTGTACCGACATCTGCTGGCTATTTTTTTGTAAAGTTAAAAGGTTTCAATGAGATACCTAGTAATTAAATTTTTGCTAGGCACTTATCAAAATGCCTTTATATCATTACCGGTCTAATTTAGATACTATTCATCTTTTAGTAACTGTGATAGAAGTAGTACTTATTGTAAAGGTTTATAATGTTTAGTAGTAAATGTTTGTTAAAGAACATTAGTATTAAATGTTTCTAAGCATTTACAATAGGCACCGGTATTCGCTCACTATCAATCGTGACGAGTGTCTATTTAGTTGCATATTATTTCACGTTCTTCAACAGATGAATATGATGAAGATAAATAGGTAGTATGTCAAAAAGTTAAAAAAATGTCGCCTACACATGTTTGTGCGAAAAATACTTTTGTTCATGAGTTATTATAATGAGTATAAAGTATGAAAAGCACACACTCCAACATTTCGTTATATATTAATAAATTTGACAATGAATTTTGAATGACAATTTGAAATGACAAGTATTACATTTTTGTTATGTGACTGAAAATTCTGCTAGACCTCTAATAGCTCTATTAAAGTTACTACGATCACTTCGATTTGGTCTTTTGTAAACTACAAAAGATTAAAATGCATCCGAATACATTTATACATACAAAAATACTTTCAATTTAAAAGATGCATCAGAGTTACGTGTTAAACTTGATCAAATAAATATACTGAATTGTATCATAATGGTAGACGAATGGAAGATACAATTTGTTATATCAGGAATAAGTATCTATAATAAAAACTACCTTGAAATAGTTTCCGTTTTCGCGATTATGTAAACATTAACTCTTATACATAACGTTATTGGAATAGAATGTTTATTTGATTGGTACCTATATTGTAAAAACAGTTTAGATTATTTATTCTAAACCAAACTCATATTTACTTAAAGCTTGACGAAGAAAAGAAAATATTTATAAATGACATTAGCAAAATCATTGTCACAGGCAATTGTTAGAACGATGAAATTAAAAGTAAGGAAAGCTAAAATTGTTTTTCAATAACCTATTGGCTGTTTGGCCTTAACATCATGCTTCTCTATTTCGGGTCGGGTCGTAGTGTGATGGATATTACATAGAAAATTACCTTTCTTAGTGAATACTTTATCTAAAAAACGAAACAAGAAAATACATTTTTTTTTAATTTAATACCAGTTATAATGTTGAAAAATAAAGTTTAACAAAAAAAATCAGGTTTACTATTCCAGACTATACCTACTCGTATAAACATGTAACACTTTTAAAATGTCTGGACAAGAATGTCTGGTGTCCACACCACACACATTCCTATATATCGTATGTTGACCTGCCATAGTACGAAGTCTTTACAGTGACAGTTCAAGTTTAGTGATGATTGATATTAAACAAAACATGATATGAAAACAATCTAAAAAAGGTTAAAAAAAACATTTAAAGGTGACTTCCAAACAGTTAACCAACTTATTAAAGAATTAAATGATTTTTAAGAATCACTTTTAATATAATAAGATATGCTTCTTATATAATACCAAGAAAATCCGTGTGCGTTTCGATTGCTTCGCCACTATATAGACACAGTAAAAAAACTTCGACAGAAATATGTCGAAATTTGTCAAAATCGAAGGGAACGAACCAAAAATTTGTCTAAGTAGAAATAAAGAAGTTAAAGGGGTCTTAATAGGCCGCGCGAACAAAACTTCGAGGATTGCGCGGCCATGGAGATCTCAGCAACTTAAGAGATCTAATTCTTTTTGTCAGTTGAAGACTAAATTGACAAAATTTGTCGAAAAAAGAACTGTAAGCTACAGATTAATATTTTACAAAATATTTACCCTTAAAGTTATGGCCGCGCAATCGTACACTTGTTGTTTCTTTATTCTTGACTAGCTGACCCGCGCAACTTCGTCTGCGTCTCGCAATAGTAATAAATTTTCTCCGTTTTTGAAACATTCTTCATTGGTGCTCCGCTCCTATTGGTCTTAGCGTGATGATATATAGCCTACAGCCTTCCTCGATAAATGGGCTATCTAACACTGAAATAATTTTTCAAATCGGACAGGTAGCTCCTGAGATTATTTCTTTAAAACTTAAGACTTATACAGTAAAACTGTTACAAGAAGAAAGGTCTTAATTTGTCATAACTAATGAAAGCAATAAATACTACCAAAGTTTATTTAATCAGACAGGGCGTTTCCTTCGTTCCTCCACGTTTCGTTCGCGCGCGTTCATTTTATAAGATGATTCTTATATGTAGGTGGGTACTATCGCGGTCGACAAAGTCCACAAGCCCAAAAACTTGTATTTAGGTTAGTAGGCATATAATTCTATTCTGGAAAAAAATCCATATTAATAGGTTTTAGAATCATTTAGGGCTCTTTTTTATCGAAATGAGGTATCAAAGTAAGCTTGTCTTGCGCGCTTTTTAAGGGAGGTCTGCTATTATTATTAAATTGCAACAAAATATCCACAATGAAATGTGCTTAGAAAATATAGATGTTTGAATATAATACGTGACTGACAAAATACTTTTCTTTTTTTAGAGAAAAGAATATGTTAGGTATGCTAAAGTCTTTCCATTATCCGAAGCTTTGGACTTCAAACTACCTTCTAAATGGTACAGAAGAGCTGTGGGTGGTCTCGAAATATTATTCGGATTGGCTCTTGCACTTCTACCTAGTCGTAAGTATATTATAATAATTTTTTTAAAGGGCTGTTTGCACATTAGTATTAGATGGTACCCGTTAATTATCAGAGTCGTATTTGATAAGATATTCAGTTCTCCCTTTTGCATAATATGACGTGAACTAACAATATCAATGTATGGCCACGTGTGTAACGTATGAAAAATAAGATACGGTTTTACTATGTATATGAATTGTGCAGTAGCAGTGAACAATGATATTAAAGATAAACATTATTTAACCAAGGTTTACCTTTACCTTACTTTCATACATTCATTACGCAACATTTAGATCACCAAAGACCTATAATTCATAGGCACATAGAGGGAGTAGCCAAGTTTTCTACCGACACAAGTAGCCATACATTGTTAGTTCACGTCATATTGTGCAAAAGGGAGAACTTTGAATATGTTATTTTAGACCTACTCAAATACTTTACAAAATACATATCGACGACCTTCAGCTAGGTACATGAAATATTGTATCATTATAACATGTATGAACCTCGAGCTATCGTTCAAATTTATTTCAAGATATTGGAATGAAATTGCATTGACACAGTTTGTCATTTAGTACCTAATGGACGAATGACATAACATATTTCAGCAGTATTAAAATTACTAAAGAAAAATGTGTATTATAATCTGATTAATCAGAAGTTGGAAGTATTATAATCTCTCGAGGATAAGTTGAATATGCTCATTTTCCTTTTTCAGATAAAATTAAAAACACAGCAAACATAGGGCTGCTATTATTGATGATATTGGCAGCATATTCTCACGTGATGGTTGGCGATCCTTTCGACCGCTGTGCCCCAGCGTTGGTGTTCTTCTTTATGCTTAGTGGACGTCTCGTCGTCTGGTGAGCTTTTTGAAATAGCTTGTTTAACATTAATGAGTTAATATTTGGGAAGCACTAATAGTTTAAATAATTCTGCACTTCTGCACGTGGGAAGTCACAGATGACGCCAATGTCAAATTTGTTCTTTCTCAAAAACAGCCATAATTAAATAGTGTACTCGAAAAGTTAAATACTGACAAAGTAGTCGCCGCTAATGATCATGTGATATGTTAATCTTATGAGCTTGGCTCTTATTTATTTCGCGATGTAGTTTGCATGAAAAGCCCATGGGACAAGTTGACATATTTATGTAATTTGAATAATATCGGTATGATTTACTGTAGCATAAAACGTATTTTTTATTTATGATTTTTATTTATTGGTTTGATATTAGATACTTAAGGACGATTCTCTATGAATGTTCACGCATCTATAGAGAATCATTCTTATGTAGTACCTAAGTAATTTTTTTAACTTCTTTTAAGTATTTCCATGAAACTATTTTTTTTTTGCCATATGCACAAATGTTATAAAAATATGTATATTTATATTATAATTTTGTTGTTTTTTAGAATGCTTATTCGTAATACACAATTTAAAAAAAGGATGTTAAAATGATTTGTAATACCTATTAATAAACTTAACCTTAAAACAATTCAAAATATCTCATTGAATTTTTATAGAAATTGTAAAATAACATTCAATTATCTTGTTTTATACTGTATTATGCACAAAAATAATTGCAAAAATCTAAACGATTCCTTACGAAAGTTCTTTGAAGTTGTACCCTCATGATTGAAAACCCCAAAATATAAATATAAGTAGGTATATTATTAACAGCTTGGCCCACCTTTTGCCTTAAAAAAACCGTAAATGGTTAAGAACGGAATGTGTTTTATACCCGCGTGCACTACGATGATGTATTTGTTATTAAAAGTTTTAAAATCACTATTACATCTGCAATGAAGTTTTGATATATCTATCGAGGGTCGCCTCAAATAAGGGTAATGTACCTTGAACTAATATTTATGTGATATAAACAAGAGTTACGAAATAAAATTGGTGTTATCGCGCCACTCTGGCATTGCCTGGCAACGAGCCAGAGAATCCGCAATGACGAACCACAGTGTCGCGCAAATAATAAATTTTCCAGCCCGATGGGAATATTTATTATTTTGTATATTCTATCGTCTATTAAAATATGTCATTAATAATCAAAATTAGGGTTTAGCTGTCGCCCAGAAATACAAGTGTTTAATATGAACATTATTCACTACGTATTTGAAAAATATTTATTTCTTGTAAATAAAATCAAAGCCGTGAAAGCAAACTATTTATATCTTCTCTGGGCAAGAGCGCCTTGGATTTTAAGATTGCGGCAATGTTATAATATGGCGGTATACTGAATATGTGTGGGTTCTCAATTTACAAAACAGAAAATTACCGTTAACTTTGTCACTAGCCCAATAAACCCCAAAAAGATTAGATATCAACTTTAAATTAATAACTTATTATTTTTCAGGTATCAGATAAGCCGTCGAGAAGAAATGGAGCGATCGGCGGCGACACAGAATGGGAATGGGCTCAAGAGAGAATAACATGGATTTTTTAAATATTCTTGAAGAGCAATCCCAGTGTGCTTCGATGTAGTGCTGACATTATCAGTTGGTTCAATATACCGAATGTGATTTTAGATCTCTCTCCAAAATGACGCGATGAGAGTTTTTATACTAGTCCTATTTATTGCTGTATAGTAATTAATCACACTGTGATTGTATTGTAGAGAAACCTGCGAATTACATAATATTCATCAGCTTATTAATTTTTAAACATCATAAGTTCTATTGAAGTCGTGACCTTCAGTTTATTTAAATATAGAACAGACACGATTTAGTTCATACTATTTCTCTAGGCGACTATGCGCCTTCTATGAATTTGTTAATTGTACCTAAAAGTGATATTAATTTAAGCGATACATGCTAGGTTCATTTTGTGCAAGTGTGAGTGATGTGTATCATGTTTATGGAGATTCATAATGAAAACTGCCACTGAGTATTGATAATTGAGAAATATTTATTGCACTGGAAATACATTGTTAACAAATACACTATAACGTTTAATATTATTTGCTCAATCATACACAATACAAAATAACTTCCAAGCTTTTTAATATTTAGTTTTAAATTAGATTATCTTTCCATAATAATAATAATATAATTACTCATTAAGTAACGCCAATCAGCTTGTCACTCGTGAGCTGATCATAGGCCTTTCCCAATTTACTAAAAGTACCGTGAACATACAAACGATAGGACGCTGAGTGCGGTGGACGAGCGACTTAAACAAGGATTTTGCTGTTAATTTTCGCGTTAGAAAATTGGGAGCCTGAAAAAAAATCGTAATTTATGTAAAATATCTTTAGACATTTTGAAGCTAACTACAATAGTTTTATTATATGGTATGTCAGTAATAATAAAATATGTGACGTATGTGTCTTGAGTGACGATTTATGAATAAATGACAAGTATAGTGTATTGATTTTATTTCCATTTCTATATACCAAAATATACGTTACAATTATTTACTTAACACTTTTTACGGTCGTCCAAACATCGGCACATCTTCAGTTTTCGGTTCGGTTAAAATCTGTCGTTAGTGCTTATATACTACAGAGACAGAGTCAGAGCGATACATATTTAGAAACACAATAGATAGTATAACAAGAGAATCCGTTATTAGTGATTTTGTACACATAATGCAATTATGAGACGACTAAACACTGCAATTGATGTGTTACTGAGACACTGAACTGAACTGTGTTCTTCTATAAAGAATTTAAAATTCATATTTTAGCAAAAGTTCGAATTTCTTAATTGAGTTCAAGAGATTTTTAGTGTATGACGTCGTGTAATTGTGTATGGTGAAATTATTAATTACTGCACGACATCTTTTTGTCGCCATCCGAACTCAGTTGGGTTATGTGCGGATTTTGTCAGTATTTTAATAGTATTTCGTTAATTATTGAGTGTAATGTGAATAGTTGAATTAATGCACTAATTATTGGAAAGGTTTTATATACACATTTCTTTTAGAATCTCGAGTCATGGTAAATTATCCCGTAGCTCATAAATTACTAAGGTACATGATACATCATTGATACTTTACAAGACGTAGATGCTTACTAGGTAGGTATGTATAAAAGTTAAAAATTAGACCCTGGCATTAAGTACTAGTATCTATAAATAATCCGTCAAAGTCGTGCGAGAACATCCTGCGGGCTCACAGACGGTTGTGAGGTACTCAAGATGTCAGCGGGTAGTGTGGTGTGAAACTGCGCGGCAATATCCGGCGGTCTAGCTCCTGGCAATCGAAGCAGCAATATTGTACTATCTGTTAAACTTTGGGTTTTGAGGCACACGAGATTACTATCTCAGGATGACTTGGACGATTACACGACAGACTAGTGTATACATTTTTTGAGTCGCCAGAATGACCGGTCGTCATTCGAATATGCAAACGACATTTATAATTATTTAAATTTGTTCCAGCATTGCTTACTCTAAAACCCTTATTTGTGCAAATAAAAAACATTAAATTGACATGAATTTGGGAAAACTGTTTCTAAAGCGACGAGTTTCTCGGAAACCAGCTTAAAAATAATGCTAAAAGATGCTATCCATGGAAGCCCTGGGCAGGTACAGTGACTTTCAAATCACCACGTCTAAAAAAAGCGATTGAATTGAAGGTGTCATCATCAACAGCCTATAAGAGTCCACTGCTGGACATAGGCCTCTCCTTAGAAAGGAGGTTTTGGCCTACTATACCACGCTGGCCAGACGGGTTGGTATAGGGTTTGTTTCAAGTTTTCCTTCTCTTTGCAGTGCTGTTGTCCTGCTTAGTTTGCTCCCTTAGTCGGCTCTTACGACACCCACGGGATGAATTGGGGTGGTGACAATTTGTATTCTTAATCCGTCACCACACGGACTAGGTGTCATAAGGAGAAAAATCAGTGGTTTAATGTCAAAAACTGTATGCGGTCGTTGAAATCGATAAATGGGTATATCGTGCTTCACCTAACCCCATACCACTCGGATTTAAATCCTATCGAGCTCTTGTGGAGGTTTCAGAAATATAAGTTTATTTGATTCCAATTTAGACAAAAAGATAAAAGATTTAGATTTAGATTTTTTGCGTTTAGATTTAAAATTCGACGAGTGGAAACGATGACGACGACGACGATGAAAAAGTTCTACTTTCTTTGAACTTGAAAGTGAAATTCATCTATAATAAAATACTCTAACATCAAAAATCGTTTGCTTGTTATAGTAGTCTTCCACTACCAACAATTAAAATTAATAAAATATTGAAACTAGTTTTATGTCCCTTTTTATTTACTTTTAGATTACGTCACAAATAGTTGCAATTTATCGTGAGATTTATCAGACCACACTTCTCCCAGTGTGTAGTGTGCTAAAATTACGTGCTACTTCGTCCCCGCCACTGTCTGTCTTGAATATCTTCGCAGTTTATTGATAAACTAATTTTATTTAGACATACACAATTACTTCTCGTCCTACACTCGTTTTTAACCCAGTTTTTTTCTTCTACGTCCATAGGATAAAAAAGTGCCTAAACAGTTTTCGATAAATAACTCCAATGGTAGGAAACACAATTTTTCGACCTATTTCTTAGCGTTCCATGGATTCACCGTGCGGATGCCGGGCCCATCACGTGAAAGACGGGGGCAACACATGCGATTTCGACAGCGCCTAGCAATTGTTACCCAGGAATAGGTTTAGAGAGTACTCCTTGCGACGCGTCAGCGCTCACCTCCACTGCCTGATGTGTTACCCCTCTACCTAACCATATTTAATACAAGCCTAGAAATGCCACTTTGGATATTCGTTCAAGAAAAGAGCTTACTGAAGCTCTTAGCAATCCAAAGTTTAAGCAGGTTATAGAGCGATTTAGCTGGTATAGCACTTCCACGGCATACAACGCAACAAAATAGTTAGTTATTTCGTTGGTTAAGTCAAAGTACTTGTTTCTTTCTAAAGCGTGGTCTTTAGGGATGTTCGTTTCCCGTGCACCGTGAGTTCTACTAGTACTACACGCTTGATTGACATTGCATTAAGGATATGTCGGTATTTATAATTGAGTACGGCTTTTGTAAAGTTTTTTTGATGAGCCTTCCTTTACAAACTTGATGCTAGTTCTTATGTTCGTCGTTACCCCTTTTTTCGCTCTCGTCAGTGATAAACTTAAAGTTTCGCTAATGATTTGAAATACCCTATCATGGCGACGTGAATAATGACCCCGGTTTAATCATCATCAGCCTATCGCAGTCCACTGCTGGACATAGGCCTCTCCCATTGCACTCCACTTAGATCTATTTTGGGCTTCTAGCATCCAGATCCTGCAAGCCATCCTGCGCAAATCGTCACTCCACCTGACCTGGCTGTACCTGGCTGCACATAGTGAAAGCCTTTTCTGTACCTTTCCTACCTTACGAGGTTGCTTTGGGACAGGGCAGGATCGGGGACAGTTAATTAATATTAAACTTTTTAATAGGGCAGGTGAACAATCGTATAAAAGTGTGTGCCATTTCAAAGCTGGTACCATACACAATAATTACATGGACGTCATACTGAAAAGTTTAAAACTCAAACAATGAAATTCGAACTTTGGCAGCGAATCAGATGGGCTCAGATCTTGGTTAACACGGCCGGTTCAATATCTCCATTGATCTAATTACTTTACAAAAATTGCAGTCGGTATTTTATTATAAAAGTAATTCCAAGTGTGTTAACATGTATAACCTAAGCCAGAGATTTCTAAAAGTATATTATATAAGTCTGCTAAAGGCAGTAACAATAAAAACTATTATATTTTTAACAACATTGTAATTAGTATCACTGCATGTAAGCCTAAAAATATATTTATAGTATTATGTTTATGATTTTAAGCCTTCAGCTTTGTTTTAAAAGTAAATTATAATAATAAGCGATCTATACATATTCATAGAATTCATGCACCTGAAAGCTTATCCTCAAGCAGGATCACGGCCAGTCTGGAGCAATTCCAAGGCATTCTTTAAGTTTCCGATAGCAGTTTTAATGTCGTCGTAGTTCAGGGCACTGCTGGCCCACTTGCAGTATTTTTGTGCTTTAGCAATTTGATCTGGAGTGAGCTGCGCCGTAGAAGAAATATCACCGTAATAAGTAGACGGTTGTGCCACTTGTGGTTGCTGTGACGGATCATAAGGTATAAAACCACCTGGATTTGGATCTGGCGTATATGGTACTGGTGGAAGTTGTGAGGCCGCTTTCATTGCAGCGTTAGGATCAGGCAAAGAGTTGCTAAAACTGGATGGTGCATCAGGCGGTGTTGACGGAGTTACTGTAGGGAAAACTTGAGGCTGTGTTGGCTCAGGAGCATGTTGGCTGTCACTTGTTGGCTCTTCGCTATTTTCTCCTCCATCTTCAGATTGCATTGGCCCTGGAATTTATTAACTGTTGTCACGTTTTTTGATATTTATACAAATAACAAGTAACAGTGAGCTTAACCTTGAAAAACAATGGCCTTGAATACAACTGGTCTTGGTTTTGGGGACTATGGGAATATGGGAGATATTCTGGTCTATGATTTGCCCTAGATCACTTCTAAGTGAGCATGTAACTGCTATTCAATAAAATAGTCAAATTATTAGTATTAGGTATTACTTTGATCTGAAATATCTCCTCTTTGGTTAAGAATTCCAAATTCAAATTTTGATAACATCATCATTTATTTGTTTTTTCCTTATTCGAGTTTTGAAAACAGTCATTTATTTATTTTTTCCTCATAATTTTTTTCTTTGGCGTCGCTTATTACCGCACAATGGAAAACATGAAATATTTACGAGTACGAGTTTTACCGTGTCACCAGTGCTGCAGAAACAGCTCGAAGGATTCATGATGTGTACGGCGCTGGTGTCGCAAAAGAAAGCACGGTACATTTTTGGTTTCAACGTTTTCGTTCTGGAAATTTCGACCTTCAGAACCAACCCCGTGGACGGCCGGAGACCAAAGTGGAAAATGAAGAATTAAAGGCTATTGTGGAAGCGGATCCATCACAAAGCACTTCAGAGATAGCTGCAGGCTTCGGGGTAAGTGATAAAACTGTATTAATCCACTTGAAGCAAATGGGGAAAGTAAATAAACTTGAACGATGTACCTCATGAATTGAGTGGATCCAACTTGCAAACACGGGTCGACTGCTGGTTACTTTGCTCAACCGATACAATAATAAAGGGATTTTAAATCGAATCATTACTTGTGATGAAAAGTGGATACTGTACGATAATCGAAAGTGCTCGTCGCCATGGCTGAACCCTGGATACCCACCCAAATCCTGCCCTAAACGAAAATTGATTCAGAAAAAGTTACTTGCGAGTGTTTGGTGGACTAGCGCCGGTGTCGTTCACTACAACTGTCTAAAATCTGGGCAAACGATTACGGCAGATGACCCGAACCATGAAGGAAGAACTAGCTGCTAAACAACCGAGGTTGGTCAATCGCTCTAGGCCACTGCTGCTTCACGACAACGCAAGACTACACACTGCACAACAAACAACCACTAATTTAGATGAGCTACCATTGGAATGTCTGCGACATCCACCGTACTCCCCGGACCTTGCTCCAACAGATTACCATTTTTTCAGGATTTTGGACAAATTCTTAAAAGGAAAAAAAAATCGGTGGTCTGTAAAGTCGGTTTACTGACGATAGTTGAACGTGACAACGTCATACGAAAATACTGATGGAATGGTTGCATTTTTCAAAAATGTATTATTGTATACGAGTAGCAGCTGTCCACGCGGACGCATCGCTCACTCAAGTAAGAGAGAGACAGATATCGAACGCTGCCGAACGCGGAGGCCGATTGTGCCTCTTTGTCGCTCGTTCCGCGCTCTCGCTTGCACTTCACGCCTTAAATGGAACGCCTCAGAGCGAGGTAACGCCGCATGAATCATGTTTTTTCGTGCGTGCAGCCGGCTCCATCGAATTATAAGACGTTGTCACGTCAAAAATTCAACTCCGATACGGCAGTCCAAACCGCCTTCAAAGAGTTTATTGATTCTCGGCCCCATGGTTTTTTTTGTATAGGGATCAATGAACTACCTATGAGATGGCAAAAGTGCATACTTTGATTATTTAAATATATTTTACAAAAACAAAAATTTACTTTATATTCCACGCTAATTTCATATGTAAGGACCTAATATTTATCTAAAAGCTTTGGGTTCAGAAGGAAAAAACTACTTTCTAAACAATATTTTTGTCAAACTGTAGGTTTAATTTTGCCTAAAGTAATCAAGCAATAGATTCGAAGATTTTTTAATACCTGGTACTGGTGTCTCTCCATTTTTGAGGCAATTATGAATGTAAGCTGCCTTCCACTTAGCATACTTCCTGTTCTGAGCAGCTTCATCAGTAAGTTCACCAAAAGTGCAGAGTACATCATAAATCATTCCAGCTGTGTAGAAAGCCTTCACAATATTCCTAAAACAAAAACAGGCATTTCAGTATTTATCATCTGCCTACCCTTATCCCAATTTTATTTGGGGTCGGCGCAGTAAGTATGATTCTTCTATTCTACTCTATCATTAGTAATCTCACTGTTCACTCCCTTCCTAGCCATATCCTCACTTACACAGTCCATCCACCTATTCTTTGGTCTTCCTCTTCTCTGGCACCCTACAACTCCCATACTTAACACTTTCTTTGCCACATTTTCCTCATCCCTCTGCATAACAAGATAACCTATAACTTCTTAACTTTTCATCCAGTTAATCCTTGTCCATCTGAGTCACATAACACATCATCATCATCTCAGCATTCGCATTTTGGCTACGTTCAGGCGTCGTTTTATAAATTTGTCCCTACAGTGGTAAGTGGTCACAAATTGTTCCTGTTACCTGCTGTTACAGACATTTAAGTATTATGACAGTTATAATTATTTTAATATTGACTCAGTGGCGGGTTTACACATTTGCTATTAACCTCTACAATTTAATACCTATTTTTTTAATGTGTGGAAACCCCATCAGGCTGTCACCCCACTGGAGTTTGAGGCCAGGCGGCGTGTCGTAATCGAACCGACTCTGTGCTTGAGTAGGGATAGGAGAGATTTAGGAACAGCTGATATTAAGGCATCCGGACCCACTAATCAATATCCTAGTTCAGATTTGTCTCTGAACCGAAAGGAGATGCTGTAGGGTATCAACATGGGTAGGCTGCCCTTATCCCGCGGTGCAACAAAAACTTCGGTGACTTGCCAGTCCAGCTTTTGCTTTAGCTTTCTGCAGGAAGTAGCTGAAGGCCTTTTTCCACAACTGGTGGAACACACAACCCCTTGGATGGCCTCTTTGTCCGAAAACAATGGAGAAAACATGGATGATATTCCACTCGTTACGGATGCAGAGGTAGGGCAGCTATTCTACAGATCCGTTCTAAGAACAACGCCCCCAGAATAGAAGGGACTGCCTGAGTGTTGACCCTACCATCCGACCACATACCAGACTCCCTAAGGGAGTCGGATTGGACTGCTTGTTTTAAGTATGAGAGGGACGCCTTAAATAATACAATGTTACAATTAATGTTTGTAACGGATACAGTTGTTTTTTCTTCATGAGAATTACAATTTCTGTATAGCAATACCTAGGCTGGGCACACACACATCTATTCAGTAAATAATTAACTCCATAAATATTGATGGTGACAAACTTAATTCTCTACTTACTTTCCATAGTTTTGTTCTCTATCCTGTTTGTCAGCATACAAAAATAATTTCAAAGCATAGTTCTCAAGATGTGCTTGGGCTGCAACCTCATTTATTATGGCATCATTATCCTTGTTAATTCTTTTACATTCTTCTAACCAGTCCATCAAAGCTGAAATTTTATTTAATAGACAATAAAACAATATAGTCCTCATTTGCAAATCAAAACTATTCATGTTTACATTTATAATTTTGCTTTTTTTGTCAGTAATATTCTAGGTATAATGAAAGGCTTGTTGGTCTAGTAGTTAGCAATTCTGACATATAAGCCCAGGGGTCATGGGTTCCATTTCCATACAGGACAAATTATTGTGTGATGATCAGTCATTTGTTGTTTAAATTTTCATCAGTATTTTGGTTACCACAACACAACATATTGAGTTGTTGTTATGGAAATTAAGCGAATCATACGGTGGCCTTTTATATAAGTGAAACAAATACATAAGCAAGTCTTATAGTTTGTTAAGTGATGTCAAAACCTGCACAACCTACATTAACTAACTGCAAAATGACTGGGCTTCTAGTTTATATAAATATAAACTTGTTATCACAAAGTTCTTTACCTATTAAAAGAGCAGATTCTTCTCGAGTTTTCTTAGTAGTGAGTTTCAGACCCGTTTGTAAAGCATGAAGCCTGCACCAATAGGCTACTACAGGGTCTCTATTATCATGTTCTGCAGCAGTCTTTAAGTAATGCTGAATAGATTTTAAACTTGCTGGACACTCGGGGAAAGACATTGCAATAAAACTGTAATATAAAAGAACACTGTCATTGGAGCCTCGCCTTTGATACGAAGCATTCAAGATGAATCAGTCTATGGATACGTTTTTACAAAAAAATTACCTTATTACATTAGTGGGAAACGTAATATAAGGAAACAAGTTATATTAATATACGTTCCCGTTTCTAAATCTTACAATTGTGAGAAATAAATAAATTCCGTCACGAACACAACACAATTTCTTATTATCCACAGATAACTATATACTTATTATCATTAAATTCATTCAGTGTTGCCAAGTTTTGCATTCAATGGTTTTCGAGGTCCCAAGATAATATTTTTTTGCTTGGAGAGATGTTTTAGATTTGTAATACTTTTTGTTTTTGTAGTTATCGCTTACATCTCATGCCAAAATGTTGATTAAAGTAGTATGTACTCAGGTGTATGTAAATAGAATTTATCTTGTATGAGCAATTTAATGAGCAATGAATTTTCAATCACTGATTTGAGTGCTTTAAAATAACGCAGTACATAATCTGAAGGTTTATGTACTATGTTTTTTTACGAATAATTTCTGGTGGCTGTGGTTTACATATAAGGTCGGTGGTGGCTAAAATGGACCTCGAGACTAATTCCATCTCTCCGGGCCCTGACACGAATGCCATAACAATAAGAATGATATGAGTTTGATTTTCTAATACGAATCCAACAAGACAATATTTACAAACCTAAATAATTCTCAATGAAATTGGTTCGAAATTATCTTATCAGATAAACTAACTAAAAACAGCTAGAAATTAAAGAATCACATTTTAGGACCAAACAAAATCGACTAATAGTTGATAAAATTGTCCTCTGCCCCTTCCAAACAAATCTATGACCTAGGAATCTCTTAATATCATAATAATTTTAAGTCTGATTGTTGAAGAAAACTTCAAGAGATAGAGAAGTTAATTTCAAAATACGAGCATCAAAAAATCATGACTGAAGTGTGCAGCACATACAGGGTTAAAGAAATGTCAAATACAATTGTCAAACAAGCGAAGTATTGAAGAATTATGAATTTTATCTACTCTGTTTTTACTTTAAAACACTAAAAAAAAGGCCTTTTAGACAGTTTACTGCTTGCATTGTAATTATTAAAATGCCATCGAAGCAGAGAAAGATTGCAATGATGGGATACCGTTCTGTGGGTAAAGTTATCGTTTCCAAATGTTGTGCGCGTTATTTAATGTAAGTGACGTTATAATAATTGTTATAAAAAAATTTCAGGAAAGTCGTCTTTAATCATACAATTTGTAGAAGGACAGTTTGTTGACTCGTATGATCCTACGATCGAAAACAGTAAGTAATCATTACAGGGCTTTTGAGAAGATAATCATGGCTTGTCACATTGTGATTGAGCTTTCAACTCGTACCCCACATCCTTACATAGTATTCCGAATCAAGATAAGTTTGTAATCAATTCAGTGATTGGGTAATAATTAAACTGTTTGTTAGAAATATAACGAAATATCTACTGTCTGTTTCTAGTTTTTATTTGGAACATAGTATGTGTTATTGTTTGTTTAATTTTTGTAATTTTGATTTTATAGTTAAAAACCACTAATTTTTATTTCTTTATTTCTTCCAAAGCATTTACAAAATTTATCAGACTGAATTCTACTGAGTATGAAGTTAAGTTGGTTGATACCGCTGGTCAGGATGAATACAGCATATTCCCGTTACAATACAGCATGGATTTTCATGGCTATGTTTTGGTGTACTCTATAACATCCAGCAAAAGTTTTCAAATTGTACAAATTATTTATGATAAACTTCTGGACATGGTTGGTAAAATCCAGTGAGTATCTGGTATTTTTTAAGAAAGTATATATATTTATATTTGAATTCTATGAGTTTTAATAATTGTTATGGTTTCAGTGTACCCATAGTATTAGTTGGTAACAAAACAGATCTTCATCTTGAAAGAAAAATTAGCACTGAGGAGGGCAAAAGACTTGCTGAAAGATGGCGGGCTGCATTTGTTGAAACCAGTGCTAAACGTAATGAGGTATGCTTCACTTTCATATGCAATTTATTCTGCTTTCACTTTCATGAATAATATTTTTGATACAGTTACTTGACTTTACCAAAAAAAGAACTAGTGTGGCAAAGGCAGATTATTTGTGCTAAGTTCTAAAGTCCACACTAAAGAGGTCTTTCTTTCAAAGGTCTTCTAAAGTTTTACACAAAAATTGTAAATAGAAAATTTTGCCTCAATTTCCCAGTTTAATGGCAAATAGGTAATATTTGTGTCCTAGGACTCTATATAAAAGTTGTTATTTCTCTACTGACTAGACCCAGCAACATCTCAGTGGAATCCTCGTTCCCAAAACTTGTACAAGGTTGTTTGGGCTAGAAGGTACCACTTAAGGCTCACTTTTAATTATTTAGAACAATATATTATTTGAGTCCTTACTTTGCAATGCTAGTAACATTAACTTTCATGTAGAATGGTATGGTAAGTGGACCAATTTCTAACATAGTATTTATTTCATTTCAGTCTGTGACGGACATGTTTCATGCTATATTATCCGAGATTGAGCGATCAGACGGACACATACAAGACAAGAATGGATGTGTAATTTCTTAATGAATGTTATGTTTGGTGATTGCTTTTTACTTAAGCTAAAGTGATTTAAATGTAGTGTTTGTATGTGCACAGCAAGCTAAATGCTGCTGCCATTGCGGTGTATAATAATTAAATCATGTTTGTCTATGTTTGAATGATTCAATGGTATAAATAATTAACTATGATACAAAGTATGTACTTGTAACATGGGGACTTATAACTTACATTTCAATGAACACAAGTGTTCTGTATGGTGTTAAGGGTGACCCATTTCTATGATAATGGCCTCTGTAGCATTTTACCGCACATTATTATTGTTATTAGTTATAACACCTTATTAAGTACAAAGCTACATCCTGTTGATATCAATTTATTGTAGAAATTTATTTATTTTATTGATTTCTGTTAAGATTTATTATAAATTTTTTCTACATATAAACCACCAAAAATTATGTATGTTAAGTCTATTACATAGGGGCTAAGCAAAAACTATAAATATTGTATAAATGTCAATGTAGAGACTGTCTTAACCAATGTGGTGTGCAAATGTGTGTGTTCAATTTAGAAATATGTAGTTTGTAGTGTGGGAAATGCCGGGTAAATGTGCATCATTATGTTAAGACAATCTCTATATTTTATTTAATTATAAAAAGTATAACAATTTACAGTTACATGTAGTGTACATAACAACATATTTTGTTGTTCACATTTATGGAACACAAAATTGATTATACTTCATTTGGTTAAGGTCAGCTTCAGCTCCTTTAAAAAGTACCACAGCACAATACTCTTGTCCTCAGAAAGAAATATTTGACGGCAAATGCTATTGTTTTCGGGTATTATATATAAACTCTATCTCTTAAAAGTATGTGTTCGTTTTTTTGTATAAATGTATAAACAGTGTAAGTGGTCCTTATGACCTATTTATTGGTTATTGCTAGCTAATTAATTTGTGTGAGTTTGCATTTAGTATGCTGTTAGTTAATATTTGAAAAGACTATGAAGACTAGTTGTGGTTCTATTGTATTCTCATGGCCTGATCGGAAGAGCCTTCATGCACTACAAATATGAAAAGTCATGATCTTTATAATAGCTTAATAACTTATGACTCCGATTGAACTGGCTACTGGATCAATGGTAATGTATTCTCTTATAACCATTTTTAATCTTGGATTTAAACTATGTATAGTGCAATTTCTGTTATAATATGGTGTGTAACAACATAATAACTTATAATCGGGTTTGGTTAGAGCACCTTGAACTTCAGGGCACAGATAGCTTTGTCTTTACAATACAATTACAATAAGGCACATTGTATTTCAAATCGTATTCTAATGTTTGCTTTTAAGCTTTAGATGAGTGGATAATATTTCACTTCGACCAGCACATAAGTGTAGATGTTATGTGATTTTTGCTTTTGTATCTCCAAATGTACTAGCAAACATCCATTTATACACATAAATGACTAGAATTACACCAAACAAGGTAGACTTAGGACGCCGCTTTAATTTGATGGGCCACATTTTTGAAAAGGTCATAACACTTTTGTTAAAAAAGCAACTTTTATTTTATTAGATAAATTTATAACATATTTTACATGACGTTAACTTCAGTTCAGTCACTCGCGATACAAAAGATGAAAGATAAATTACACTTTTTGTGTCCTATCTGATTTAATTTCAAATGTAATGTAAATATTACTATCAGTACAACAACATACGTTTTTAGTAGGTTCTTCCCTGGTTGCCAGTTGAAATAATAGAGTTGGTTTATACTTTTACGTGTATTGTAAACGACACCACTGGGGTGTCATTTAATTTTTTTTTTGTTAATGACACCACTGCTGACTAATGATGTATAACGTAAAATATATCAATTCGTTATGTGTTAATTTTTAATGATAATGTTGAAATTGGTTGTGTTCACAGAGATTCATAAAACATAACAATTGTATTTATCATAATCCATCACATCATAAATTAATTTATAAAACTTGATTCGATAATTACATTCTAACAACAACAATTATAACTATTCATTTTTTTCCACAGTATCTTTGTTTCACTTCATATGCTATCTTTCAAGCAACTTTGGATACTTCTGGAAAAAGCTTCATAAAATGGTTGTGGTCTTGTTTTTATGAATGAAAAATAATTGATATCGATAAATGCATAAATTTGTAAGAACTTCATTAGGGTGGTGTCGTTAAGAAAAAATAATTGTAGACGACACCCCAGGTGTGGGTCAGTGGTCGACACCACAATTACAATACACAGACTTTTACATCTAGATATATTGTAACTGTAATTACTACGTGTAAATTGGGTATCCTGAAGGTTTTCATAATTGCACTTGATTAAATTCTTGTTAAAATTAACGCACCTAAAAATTAAAAGCTTTAAAATGTACGTTATTGTACTTTTTTTTTTACAAGTGTTTACTATTTATTTTGGACCAATTTATAATGCCTAACCGCTTTATTAAAACTACTTTATATTATATCCTTTGTTTCTTTCAGTTACGTAACAACTTTTGAGTGTGTAAACTTAATAATAATCCGACTTCAACAAGTAAAGATCAGATAAATAGATAATTATTTATTTGATAAGCTTACATAGTAAATAGTCACTTATATTTACTTATGTATGCAGTAGTGTACGGCACAGAAATGAACTCTTTAACTTAATAAGTTTTTAGGCAAAAATACTACACTTCTCTAAAACGGATTTCAAGTTACATACACATTAATTTTTGAGTCACAAAAAATGAAGTTATTGAAGTCATTAATGTTTTGGAGGAATAATATTAAACATTTTAATAAATCAGTAATACACTGACAAATGTCTTATTTTTGTTTGCCAGTTTTTTCTCTTCCATTAAGACGCGAGTCACTTCATCTGAACAACCATTCTTAGTCAAATGTACATACGATATGAAATGACGAAGATATTTATTGATAGGGATAATTTTGTTGAATCGTTTGTTTCGTTGAGTGACTGTTAAGAAATTGTGTTTTGATAGATTGCTATAGACATATTACACATTGGTGTAATACGTCTTAGAACTATTGTTCCATATTTATCTATATATAATGAGAGTTATATTTACTGACACCGGTAGGTTTATGTTGTACAATCTGTAAATTATTCAACTTATCGCACCCTCGGTCAGGCAAAGGCATAAATGACAGAAAAAAATTAAATCAGTTATTAAAAAACAAAACTTATTTTAAAATAATCAATACAGAAACAAACACTTCTATTCGCATAATTATACCACATTGGAAAAAGCAATTTAAAACGCCTTTGTCTTCCCGAAGGTGCGATATGCTTGAGTTTAAATTTAGTTTTGATATGCTTAGTTTGAAATAGATTCATGATAAACTGTATAAATAATAGGAATAAGCACAAAGAACGTACGCATATTTCAGCAAATCTTGATTAAGTCAAATAATAAGCACTAGTTGCCTTTAACAATGCCGTTGACAACGTAAACTGTATAACTGGTTATAGACCATCAACAAATGAATCAATCGTTATCATTTTCTTTACGGAAACTACTCCATTTCTGTAAGTTTGATACTAGTTTATGGAGATACCTCGCTAGTGGTAGAGTAAAGTAGGCTAATTACTGAATTTATCAACCATTACGTTCAAGACTAATCTCAAACGGTACAATTTTTCGTAGGTGTCAATATATGTATGTGAAATGTTACAGAATAGCCGATTCAAATATAGCCGAGTGTATGATACCCTAAAACCTGGTATTAAAAGCAGTTTTCGATCACAACGTCAGGACTCAAGGAAAGAAAATACAAGCTGAGTTGATAAGTTTGAATAATGATTGATGATTAAATAAACGATTGTTTTCATGTTACACACGGCCGTCTGACCCCAAACTAGGCTGAGTCTGTACTTTGGTAACTAGACCACTGATCAACATACTTAGATATTTATAAAAACGTACATATCATAGGTAAAAATCACCCAGATGATGATGATCCAGACCACAAATGATCGTGCTTATTACATAACATGTGTTCTGAGTCATACCTCCGACCTCCGGCTTAACAATCGTGATCGCTAACCATAAGTTATCCATAGTTAGGTGTTCTTAGTTCCTATGTATTCATAAGAATAATGTATCTAAGTTTTTAATGTTAATAAACACATTAGAGGCAATGCTAGTTTCAAATCAAATCATTTATATTTGCGTAAAACAGGTATAAAGCTGATAGAAGTTACATCATATAATACATGTGCGCTGTAATAGAATCTTTTAAAAAGTATCTTTGTACAAATATTTAGACATGGATAGTGAAATTTTTTTTTTATTTAAACATGCAACATGACAAATACAATTTAAAGAATATATTATTAACATAAATTTATCGCAACGTTAATGTCATAAAATTAATAATGTCAAGAGTATTAATTCTCTGACATAAACGTTTAAATATGTTATAAAGTCATAGTCACATTATAAATGTTATAAAGTCAAAACAATAAAAAATATCTACTAATAAAATGCCACACAGTCATCACATCAAAATAAAGTAGATGACAAACAACAAATTAATTTGATTTAGAATTTGTCTTGCAGAAAATCAGTTACAATATAATAGCATTTTTGGCTTAGATTTTTTTTATGTCTGTTTAAAGATGGTCGCATTTGACTCCTTTACATTCCTAGGTAATTTATTATACATTTTAGGAGCCATGGCGAAAACACTATTATGCCTTAGAGTAGTGTTTGATTTACACAAGCATAGCCGGGATTTATCTCTGCGTTCGGCCATGCGCGTCAGCTAGCATAGCTACTTTTGGGTTTGGGTCTAGAGGGCTTTGTGCAATGTGCTCAGAATATTATTATTGGTAATAAAATTTTTAAGACAAGCCTATACCGTGGATTATATATTTCACGAGCATACACGACAATCCTGAAATACTGACCTCATACGAGTATTTCTGTAACACTTAAAATAATAACGACATACATAAGTTTTGTTTGCAATATTATGA